GTCCACCTCTCTGACTGCGACTCTCCTGAGTTCTCGCAGAGATCCCAGCCGGACATGTGCCACACTGCCGTGCCCGCCGTGTGGAGGCACCTGTTCCTGCCACGAGGTTGCCTGGCTGGCTGAGGCTCTGGCTTTGGTCTGGCCAGGCCCCTTCCTCCAAAGAACAGGAGTCAGAGCCAGGAATCCAGGACGAAGCAGACATTCCACTGTGTCTGATAGACAGGACGTGTGTGCAGGGACCCCAGAAAGAGGAGTGGTAGCGTGAAATGCTGGAAACATCACGTACTGAGTAAAAAATACCCCAGAGGCTGTACAGGCCCCTAAAGGAGCAGGGCTGAGAGTGCACCAGGACGTGCTGAGCCCTCAGGACTGTAGCTTGGTGTTCTGGGTGCCAGGAGAAGAGAAAGCTGGGGGCCACTGGTGTCTGCCAGGTGTGACCTGTTCCCTTCCCCACATGCCTCCTGCCCGCCATCTCAGAGCTCATGCGGACCCAGGACAGTGCCTGGGAATGACTCAGAGCAAGTTCTTTGCTTCCAAAGTCTCCGCTTCCTCACGGAGAGATAAGATTATCTGCTTTCATGGGGTTGTTGTGAAGAGGAAAAACGCAGCTCTTGGTGGAGGAGCCCGTGGCCTGGCTCCCACAGAGGCGTGCACGGGTGCAGTGCCTGTTATCGTTGCTATGGCACCACCACCGCCACCACCATCATCATCATCGTCATCGTTGCTGCCACCACCCGTTAAGGTACTGTCACGGTGCGGGGCGCACAAGCTCCAGGGAAGCGCAAGCTCACATCCGTGAGCAGAGCCACCTCCCTCCCCTTCTGGTGATGCCAGCCAGTTTTCTGACAAAGATCCCCTGCCTATAAATGAAATTCAAATCTAAACATCTTTAAACTGTAAAGTTATATGCCCAAAGTGAACACCACTCTATACAACTCAGAAAGGTTTCGTTTAGAAAAACAAAGGGGTGCAGAAAAAAAGAAGAAAGGTTGGAAAGCCTCTTACTTAGAAAAGTTCTGTTCTACTTGAAGGATTGTATACCTCCTGACAGAGGAGCTCCTCTGTGTCGCAGCATCTGAGCAACAGTAAAACCCACACCAAAAAAAGGAAAGGAATTCTCAACACCTTTTGGTTTTGTCATGCAGATATCTGGGCATATTAACCTTATGTAAAGTCATTTGTTTATTTGGTCCCCATGCCTGTAACAGTATCAGAAGTTTACTTTACAAAGATATGAAAAGGTTCGGAGGGTATGGTTTAAATATATGCTACAATTTTAAAATTTAATTTTACACATTGCCAAGCTGTTCCACTACATATGCAGGAAAGAGGAGAGGAATATTCTTCAGGCTTCAAAAAAAATTAACCTATGTTTTCTGGCATGGACAGCTAATGTTATATTTAAAGTAGTCATCTCTAACATGAGACCCATTAGCTAATAAAGTCATGGACCCTCACTGTTCACTTGGTAACTTACAATAACTGGAAGTTGATTAAAGCAAACGACTTCCATTTTTATAACATTGTTACTATTTTTATGGGCCAAATTTAAAATGCATGATAAAAATCCAATATACAATAATTGAAACATACAGTCCAACCTCACACAGCTCTGATAAATCTGTTCATTTCTGGCCATTTTCGGTGTTGCTATAGTGAACAGTGTTGACAGTGGATGAAAAAAGCTTATAAATGGGATTCGGATCGCAGATAAAGTGAACATAAACTATCTCACAACACTTCTGCATGTGAGGAGCCCAGCTCGCTCACAGATGGCCGTCTCCTGATGCCACACGAAATTGTGGCCGGAGCCGAACATGTAGCACGGAACGCACAGGCCACGGGGACAGAACCACACCTCCAGTCACTTCCTCGGGACCCCACTGGGAAGGAACACAGGCATGGGATGATACCACGAGGACAACATCGTACTAGAGTTTAAAAAATCAAATTCTTCAAAAGCCGCCATGCTCTCTTGTCAAAATAGCACTGAAATGTATTCAGTGTTTAGAGACCAGGCAAGCTCCTTGAGTCTATTTTAGTCACTTGGATTGGACTGCTATGTCTCCCTGCCATGTTTCTTTGGTTTTTCACACCCAAAGCTTTCCTGAGGAGCTCAGTGGTACCCCAGTCCCCTCACTGGCTCCTGATTGATCTCACTGAGGAGGAAGCGTTGAGTTCACTTCCCTTCTCTGCTGACTGGGACGGCCGTCCTTGCAGGTGGCCACAGAAATTTCCAGGACACCTGGGAATCATTTACCTAGGCCAGTCAAGTCAGCTGTGTATATAAAGTGGTTATTCTAAACTCAAGCATCAAGAGAACCCATTTTTAGGATAATTTTTACTTCTGTTTTGAGTTTGTAAGGTTTGAAATCCAGGTTGCCCTGCATTGTGACGAAGGAACTTGGCCAGGAGAAGTCGGAATCCCTTGCCGATGTGTAGAAGACCCTGGACACTGACCCTTCCTGTATCCATGGACTCAGCTTCACCCACCTAAAAGTTTAGCCAGAATGTTCACTTCTGTATTTTAAAACAGCCCAAGTACCTCTGAAATTAGGTACCATATTGCCAGAGGTTTGACTATTCATATCACACACTTTTTTGTCACCTACATTTACTATAAACTACATGGCCTTTAAGTACACTTCTGTTTAATGTAGTTTATTAAAAAGATTCTACTTCTTAGATCTGATCATAAGCTTGAACAACGGAGGTGCTAAAAAGCAAAACACACACACACAAAAAATCAGAATTGATATATAGCCTGTTCAAATCATTATTAATTTAATGTCAGAGAAAAGGGAGAACATTTGTGTAAAAGTCTTGTCAATAATTGTTTTATAATTTACTTATTTTATTCTTAGTCATTTATCTTTTTTTTCCATCCATCTATCAAAGCAGCTTGAAAATCCACTTTCCTACAAAATAGTGCTTTCTGCTTGGGAAACACACTTTTCTACAGGACCTAACCCTTTAGTTAATTTCAGTACCTGCCTCATTGATACTAGCTGGATATCCTGTAACGGTGGTAACTTATGAACTACGGCAGCTGAGAAAGCAAGAGAGAGAACACTCGTGCTATTTTTCCATGACAGTGGTGGCTTGGGGCAGGGGTGTTTTAGGGTTCCATAATGATGGAGGAAGGGGGAGCTGAAGAAGCAGAGAGCATTTTCCACTCGTGGGGGAAGTGTTTCAAGGGGAAAGGGGCATCAGTCACCTGCACGGGTTGCCTTTCCTCCCTCTTCCTCTTCCTCTTCTCCTTCTACTATGCCTCTTCCCAAAAGATGTCACTGTCCTCGCCCGCAAAAGCTCTTATTGTCTGGAGAAGAGATCACATGGAAGGCAAATGGCTGAGAGCACACTAAAGGACACGGGTAGCACAGGGACCGTGCCGACAGGATACGAGATCTCCTCGAAACGGAGATCGGGAAGGTCCTTGCAGGGCCGGCCTGCAGACCCTGCTCCCGGAAGCGAGGGGAGGTCTCCTCCCTCTCCCTGCCCACCACCCCAACACGGGCTGAAGAAGGGGTTTGCAGGGACGAGTAGGGTGCCTGGGCACCACCGTGGTACCCTCTGCTCCAGCGAAAGGAGGCGGGCAGGAGCAGGAAGCCACTCTTCTCCTCAGGTTGGCTGATGGCAAGAGATCCACAGGGAGGAAGAAGAGGCCATGGAGTATTTAGCTCTTTAGGATAAACGTGGGTCATTTGCTGGATAACAGACCTACCTTGAGACCATCAGGTTGAGTGGAATAAATCAGACGCTCGAGCTTCAGTACTGCATGACTTCTCTTATGAGAGAGACCCAAAGGATAAACAATTTAAAGAGCACAAGAAAGGATGGACAGTGGGAAATGGGGAGATAGAAAACCAGGATGGAGAGACGGGGGAGGGGAGGGGAAGGGCATAAAAGGAATTCAGGTGTGTGCTGTGCCTGCACCAACTCCCCACGATGCAGGCAATCGAGGCACACTGTGGACACGGACCGATAAATGTGCTGGGAAAGCCGCTGAAAGCTGCCGCTAGTCACAATGGCAGCACTGTGCCCAGAGCAGTTCCCACGGGGCCAGAGCTCAGGCCACCCTCGGATCGACCCTCCGAGGGGCCTCTAGTCATAGCCCCTTCTACAGAAGAGGAGACTGGAGCTCAGTCGCTTGCCTAGAGACGCTCTGCTCTGCTGCTCTACTCAGGTAGCAAGGAAACTGCTGAACCACACTGCAGCCAAGGCTCGGTCCCAGAAAAGCTGGTTGAACTGACCCATGTTGGGTAGGCCCGGGCTGCCATGCTTTTCAGTTAATGCGAAGTCCAACTGTCAGCTGCACAGTTCTGCCTCTCACTACCCCATTACCCCCAGTGTCTCTGCCCCTCTTTTTTTTTTTTAATTTATTTTTATTTTTTGGTACCAGGGATTGAACTCAGGACCTTGCACTTGTGAGGCAGGCGGCACCACTGAGCTAAATCCTGGCCCTCGGCCCCTCTTCTTAACTCCCCACTTCTCAGACTATGACAACCTAGTCTTATACCTTGCCACACTTTGTTTTGCTTCCTCTGCAAAAATGGGCCTTGTGGTGATTTTAAAATATACCCACGAATTCTTTGATGTTCCTCTCTGCAGAAGGTATAGCCTGGCTGCTGGGTGTGGTAACTACACTCCCTTTTTTTGAGACAGGGTCTTGCCGTGTAGTTTAGTCTGACCTTGAACTCACTATGGAGCCCATGCTGGCCTCCAACTTGCAATAATCCTCCTGCCTCAGCCTCCTGAGAGGTAGAGTTATAGCTGTGTGTTGGCTGAAATTTAGCAGGAAGGTTGGCCTGTGACTTTCAAAACCAGGATCCAACAGATGCAGCTGTTCCTCCCTCCCCACCGGGGTGTACACGGCTGAAGGGGGCACTGGCAGCTGTGTCATAAGAACACCCAGCCCTAAGCAGAGGCCCTCAGGAAAGACTCAGATTGGGTAAGCCGCTCGGATCCCCAACCCGAACATCTGTCGTCTGACACGGGTGCATCCTGGGCTGGGCAGAGGAGCAGCCCCAGCCGTCCTCACCCCTCCCAGGTCCTCCCTCGTGCCCCAGGAGCTGGGGACAGGCCAGGGAGCGAGGGGGCACCATGCTGTCACCCAGTGGCCATGCACTCGGGACTCCCTGCACTTCCGATCACACACAAAGGTAGGTAGAGGCATAGAAAAGTCAAAGAAACATGTCCAGTTGCAGCAGCGACACAGCCCTGCAGGAAGGAAGGGGAGCAGGATCGGGATGGCAGGAGTTGGGGGGCAGCCTAGCTGTCTGCTTCTTTCCCAAAGAATCCAGCCACGCCGCTCTTGGGTGATTAGACATCTTTCCTACATGAAAGTGAAGGAGGTTAAAAAGTATAATTGTGCCTGAGGCTGGAGGAAGAGTATTGGGAATGGAGCTGTGCATGTCCACTGCGGCTGCGGTCCTCTTTGATAGCTGGTCCCGAGGGCCTCACTCCAGAGCCCTGGGAATGGAGAGTTCAGTGGTGGTAAAGAACCAAAGGGTCTGCTCACTGCTCCTCTCTGAAACTCACCGGTCTGGCAAGTCATCCAATGGCGCCAATGTGGGAGCAAATGCTCGGGAACGGCAGCTGTCGTCCCCTGGTAAATATTTTCCTGGTTCCAAACTCACAGATCTTGGGACCACTGCGTAAGGCGCTGAGGGCTTGGTGAATTTAGATTTTTGTCCGTGGGCCTAATGGGATGATGGGGAAGTTTCAGGATATGAAGTAGCTGTCTCGTTTGCTTGTTTTGGTGCTGAGGTTTGGACATGGGGTCTTGGGCATGCTGGACCAGCCCAGTATCAAGGAGCCGTGTCCCTAGCCCTGAGCTGACTTTTAAGAAACATTTATGGCATGAATTTTGCAATTAATCCAGTGATCAAATATTTTTCTATTGAAAATGATAAAGGCTGAAGCAACTCATTTTTCTACATTACCAACATGAAACTGGGACAATGAAAATGAGCATAAAATATGGCAGAGCTGAAGCAATGCCTGGTCTGACTCCCCAGATGTGAGCAACTGGGGGCTGTCCCCTCCCGTTCCTGCACTGCAGGGCCCAAGGGATCGTGACGCCGACCCCAGCACACCCAGAAAGCCATGTGACCCATACATTGCTTTTGAAAAGCACTTGAAATTTTAATTTGGAAAATTTCACATAAAAATGCAGATAGATTTCCTTTCACTTAAAAAAAGTCTGACAAATTTGTATGTTTCAAAAAGCTAGAGGAAAGGAGTTTGAACATTCTCTTCAAGGAAAAATGAATGTTTAAAGTAAAGGATACACTAATGACCCTGATTTGATCACTATATGACACATACACGAACAGAAGCAACACAATGTACCCCGCATTGTACCCCACAAAAAGCCTGTGGTGATGCAAGCCTGCAATGTGTTCAGAAGGCTGAGGCAGGAAAGTCACTGCAAGTTCAAGGTCTGCCCGAATTACATAGTGAGACCCCGTCTTTAAAAACCAAAAACCCAAATTCGATCCCTGGTACCGCCCCCCAAAAACCCCAAACCAGCCAACCAAACAACAACAATAACAAAATGTACCCCACAACTGTGTACAGTTATTTTTTAATTTAATTTAATTTAAGTTTTTTGGTATCAGGGATTGAACTCAAGACCTTGCACTTGCAAGGCAGGCGCGCCACAGAGCCAAATCCCTGGCCCAAGTACAGTTAGTTTATGTCAACTGAGAACTGAAAAAGAAAAACCCACAAGACAAACACAATACAACAAAAGCAAGAAAAGAAATCCTGACTTCTCTGGCTGTCTCAGGCTGTGGGTGGGCCAGAGTCTTGGGTTTCTTCAGTGGGGATCAGGGGTCCCCAAGCCCCACTGGGATCGTTGGGTGTCACCCTCTGGGTTTGCACCTTACCTTAGGCACTGAGTTTGCCCTCTGAAATGCGGCTGTTTACTCTGATGCAGCAGGGACCCTGCGGGGACAGGAGATCCACACCTTCTACAGTGAGGAAAGCTGCCTGGCAGTGTCCGAAGCAGAGATATCCTCAAACTGAGGCTGGCTTCCTCTGTTTACTGTTTAATGACCCAAAGGAAAGGAATTTGGAGCTCTCTAAAATGTTTCAGAGCTGCTATTTATAATCTGCTGTACTTCTGCAGGGAGCTAATACTTACCAGGGAGACCTTCTCACAATGCTCCGAGGCTCCACATCGCCATGGCCGTTCTACCTCCATCACCTTTCCCATTCCACAGAGAGGTCTGAGCTGAGTCCCCTTCCCTCAGGCAGAAAACCTACAAATGGAGGAAAAGGCTGAACCTCTTCCTCCTTGATATAGAGAGATACTTATCAGCTTTGGTGACACTGACTTCACTTTTAATATCACGCAGTCGGTTGTGAATCAATATCTGTGCAATACTTGTCCAGTAAATGTTCCTGTCTGACAATTATTAAAAACAAACAAGCAAAAGGTCTTATTTCCTTAATTCTGCTTGAAGGTCTGCCCATGGCAAAATGATCTCCTCTAATTAGCAGGAGAAAAATATGAATTTGTTTTAGAAAATTCTTTCGCTTGCCAGGAATTTATTCAGTCCAGGTCATTTCATCCACAATATTTTTTAAAGAAAACTTTCAAATCCATGGAAACGTTGAAAGAATGGCTATCTGGATTATACAGTGAACACCTGCTATATTTACTTTATCACATGTCTATTCATTCCTCTATTGATCAATTCTTCTTCCTCCTCCCCACCTCCCTTCCTCCTTCCCTTCTCTTCTTTTATTCCCCTTCCCTTCCTTCTGTTTGCTGGGGATGGAGCCCAGAGCCTCACACATGCTAGGCAAGCACTCTACCATTGAGCCACATCCCTTCCCACCCTTGTTTTTTAAATTCATTTCAAAGTAAATTGTAGATATCAGTTCATTTCACCTCTAATCAGTTTACCATATATACCACTAGAGTTCAATATTTGTTTTTGTTTTTTAAAAACTTATTGGGCTGGGATGTAGCTCCGCGGTAGAGCACTTTTCTAGCATGCATGAGGTTCTGGATTCATAACATAAAGTTTACTAGCAAGTATTTTTAAGTGTGGAGTTCTATGATGGTACATACATTTCCATTGTTGTGTGACTCTCGCCACATCAATTTCCAGAACGTTTTCATTCTTGCCATATGAAATTCTGTACCAATTAAATACTGCCTGCAGCCCCTGGCAACTACTATTCTATTCTCTGTCTCTATGAATTTCCTGATTCTCAGTACTTCATATAAAGAGAGTCATACAATAGTTGACTTTTGTAATTGCTTATTTCACTTATCATTACGCTTTCAAAGTTCATGTATATTGCAGTCCCTATCAGGATCCTCTTCCTTTTTCAAGACTGAGTAATAGTCCATTGTGTGTATGTACCATATCTTATTTATTCATATATCCATTAGATATTTGGCTTTTGTTTTCCTCAAAACTTTACTTTTTTTTGGAGCAGATTTAGATTTCTTCTGCCTTTCAGCAACTGTGAGTAATACTGCTGTGAATGTGGGTATACAAATTTCTGCTCAATTATCTCCTTTCACAACCTTCAGATATTGCCCTGAAGCACATCATATGCTAATTCTGTTTAATTTTTTTGAGGGAGTTACAGAATTTCTTTTTATGCAAAATTTCCTCATAGTAAAATGTACACTATTGATGTGTACCATTTGACAGATTGTGACAAATTGTGTATTCTAGTGAATTCTTTTCTTTTTCAATTCCTCAATATATAAAATAATTTTCCAATCAGAATGGATCCTATGGCTACAATCCTGATAGCAAAAGTGTGGGCTTAGGTGACATCAAGAGCACACTGGCCTTATCACTTCCCAAAGATTCTCTTGCTCCTCAAATCAGGAACTGGCAAAATTATCTTTTTCTCATCCACTACTGAATATAAACACTTCTTCTGCAAGCAACAATAACTTTTAAAGAAGGGTTTTTAAGCAGAAGAATGCATGTTGAATTCAAATTTGAGTCCCTATCTCTTGCCAGGAAGTACAAATCTCTCCCTACATCCAACATGCAGATTTTTCAGTGTTTAAAAAGTTTAAACAGGAGGTGAGCAAAATTTATCATATCGATCAAGAATTTATGATTAAAAATGAAAACAACCATGTAGATAGCCATAGAATTTTTGCTTTCAGCTTAGAAAATGTTATGATTTGTATCTAGATGTCCCCCCAAAGCCTGCTGCCCTTGTGATTGGGAAGTTTCAACAGTGGTTGGATTAGGGTATGTGAATGTGGATTAAGGGTGTAATGCTGAGATTAAGAGTGTGTGAATTAGTCTATTCATTAGCTTAGTTTAGTTCTTGGTCTGGATAATGGAAGCTTCGTTCTAGGTAGAGGTAGCACGAAGTGTTTTATGCGTATCCTTTATGTTTTGGGTTTTCTCACCAAGGAGATAAAATGAGTGTTCCTCTTCCCACTAGCATGATGGGTTATCTATCTTGAATAACTCATAATTAGAACAGTAAGATGATGGATACATCCTGTATGGGATATAAAGAGAGAAGGGAAAGCAAGCTTGCTGGTACTGCTTGCTGCCTTTTGCCTGCCTGTCATGGACTGTTTCTCCTCTGCCAGGTCACCCTGCCTTGAAGCCAACCATGAACTGAAACATCCACAAACTGTGAGTTGAAATAAACTGTTTCTCTTTTAACTTGCGCTTGTCTCGGCAGCAAGGAAAGTAACTAAGTGAAACAATGGTAACATTCTCACTGAAAAAGATGGTGTGGAGAAGAACATTCTTGGATTCCACAGATAGTATTAAATAGTACATCCATTTGCTAATGCCTGGTCAAGTTTGTAATATAAGTAATTTCAGACTACAGAGATTCAGTTCTTGAAATTTTTCTTGCAAACTTGTACACGTGCACCAAAATATATTTGTGCATCATTGTACATTGCGACATGGCTGGCAGTAGCAAAAAATTAGGGGAAAAATTCAATCAGAAGGTAACTGCTAAAATTAAATCCTGATATACCCACACTAACTGACATAATTTGCTTTATCAGCTTGGATGTTAATGAAGTTACATCTTTTTATTTTTTTCCGTTTACATTAGGCCCAAACATCTCTGCGTCACGTTAGTGCCACAGAAAGACCCCAGCCTGTCTTCTCTCCGAAGGCCTTGTGCCCCCCTGAATTGTCTAAGCAGCCTGGGGCCTTCAGTGGTCAGTGCTGCTTCCAAACACCTCCTGGAAAGAGATGGAAGAATCCGATTAGTCTATTAGGGGCCTCATTTGAAGGTCTGTTGCTGCTGTTTGCCATAATATGACTGCTGAAAGCTGCAAATGTAATAAATAAGGCCTAGCATTGCAAAGTAAAGACCGAGAAAGTAAAAAGAGCCATTGAGTCTGTTTTGAAAAAACATAGCTAAAGGTTATCTTACTTATTTTCCAACATAGCTTATCTTGGAAGATATAGATATAAATTTAACATATACTTTCATTGCAACAACCCTCTAATTTCTAGAATAAACAAAGAATGAGTCAAGCACTGGTCTGGTGGAGAGAATAATTTCTCTAACACAATTATTTGATAGCGAACGTTGACAACCTTGGGCTCACACTAACTTTTATAGGGGATGGTGCAGGCCATTTGGGGGGCAGAGCGGAGATGTAGACCCTCCGCCAGTTTTCCTGAGAGCCTCTGACTTGATCCTCTGATATTAAAGTGCTTCTCCTTTTGAAGAACTTATCTTGCTATCATCCTGTTGTTTGCTGTCTTTAATTGTTAGCTGACCCAACACTGCCAGGCACTCATTTGCTTACAGTACACTTCTCCAAAATCACTTTCAATGACCTCATAAAATCCTGCATCTTTTGCAAGATAAGCAATTTTACATTGCAACTGAAATGTATTGTATTTACATTGTATTGTGGGATGTTTATAACATCTGCAATCAGCAAAATTGGCTGGCTGAGTGGGGATAGAAGCTAGTATTTACATGGGGATTAATTTAGTAAGTGGTCAGTTCATTAGTGAATATTTTCCGTGATGACCAATTTCTGCTTCCCTAAACAACTTCACAACTACTGGGATTCAGATAATGATAATAAATAGTTGGGTAACAGAAAAACTTTTGTACCTTATAGCATCATAAAGGAACTAAGTTGCATGTCGACATGGAAAAACATTCACAATGCTTTGAAGAAAAAGCGCAAGTTCCAAGTGCATAGTATAACCACGCCTCTGTGGAATAATAACGAAGGTTAGTACAGCACCGAAAACCAAAACAAGTAAAACAGTCCGGTAGACACTCACACTCTCAGCAGTCCCTTCTGAGGAGTGTGGCAGCCAGACATCCAGCTTGCCAGCCATACTTTTAAATGAGCATTTACTACATCCTCAAATGTGATAAAAGCCAATAAAACTATTTCACTAGTATAATGGAGAAAGGGCCAAAGTCAAAAAAGAAGAAAGAGAGAAAGAGAAACAGGCTGTTACTAGATAGTGTCCAAAAGGCTGCTGCTAGAGTCTTCATTCACTCACTTTGGAGTAAAGATTGTTCGGTTGACACCTGCATTGCCCTAACACCCTCAGGCTCACTTTTAAAACCTCAGGTCGCTCTTTCTAGGAATCTGTTATTTTAAGGTACCGAGTTGCACTTAGGGCAAGGATTGACAGGAATTCTATAGCCGTTCCTCAAAAAGTTCACCGCTGTAGTTGAGAAGAGAAGAAAGTCCTCACTTCGTAGGAACAGCACGCAGACTGCAGTGAGCGCAGCCCAAGGAGACAGTCCGGGCCCAGAGATTCTCCTGGAGAAAAACGCCAGGCCTTATCTGCGGGAAGGGAGATTCACAGTGAGGGCCCATCCGGGTCTTATGAGTTTAAGGAGGACTGTGGATGGGGATCCTCATGGCCTGGAATGGTGAGTCAGGGCCATACGCCAGAGTAGATCGTGCTGCTAAGGGCACAGCTAGGGTTTGAGGCCAGGACCTCTGATGCCACAGCACGCGCTCTTCATGCTTGGGACCCCAATGGACATCGCCGTGAATAAGGGCTGACGACCGCATGTTGCTCGAGAAGAAACACGGCGCATGGCTCTAATCCGCGCGCCTACCGAAGGTGCAGTGTAACCAGGAGGAAAGAGCAGGCCAGCCACGAACGGCACTCGGAGAGAGGCAATGCCAATGGCGCATCCACGAAGTCGCTTCAGTCTCCTGGATCGGAGATGGCCAAGATTTCTGTAGAGTTAGTCTCTCTTCCACTCCTGGAAATAATTGCTTCGAGGTGTAGTAGTGGCATGTGAACTGAGAAGACCTGTCTCTGTCCACCAGCGAATAATCAGAGGTTTGGAATTCATCTGCAACTTTTTAGAAGTTGCTGTTGTTAAACCTTCAGTTATGGACACGAGCTGGACCGCATATTCAATATGTAGGATGAAAGTATTTCATGTATGCTGTGAAACAACGCATCGGAAAAATGCTGTTTGCCCTTACATATGTCACTGATGTATACTGAGTTATTGTTAGAGATTTTGAAATACCTACCATTATAATTTCTCTTGGATTCAGGACCTGTCCTAGAAGACTTCAAAATTTTTTTTAAAAAGGTGTACAGAGTTCAAAAGGACAAAGATCATTTGACCTTCAGACAAAATTTCTTATTCATATTTGTTTACAAAGTAGTATCATAGAAGAATTGACTTTAGTTTTAAAAAGCGGTTTAAGCCGCTTTTTAAATGGTGGTCATCATTAACTACAAATTAAAATCATTTCCCTAATAGAGTGTCTCTTAGATCCACTCTTAGGGTAGTATAGAAATGCAAAACGCTCCCCTGTTATGGAAAATGTCTGGGAGTCACTGCCTTGACAAGTTTTTAAAAAGTATTTTCAACATTCTAAGCTATAGGAAAATAACTCGTGGGTAATGAGCTACAAATTCTTTTTCTCCTTCTTTGCCCTCTACCTTTGAGAATGTGAGATCTTAGCTTTGGACACTGTAATGATTTATAGGCAACACTAAAGCTCTGTGAAAAATAATAATGCGCAGATTTGCTGAGACAAACATCAGAATCCCAAGCATGATTGTCTGAGAACAAACCACTCGATCAGAGAGAGCCCAGCTGGCCACCTGGTCTTCCCATCCATGCAAGATCTCCCAGTTCTAATCATAGCAAATCCTACCAACAGTAACTTCACTTCATTGTGAAAAATGGCCCAGAGGAAAGAAAAAGTCCATTGCTAGCACTGGAAAGTGATGGCATTTATTAATTTGCATGATTATATTTAGATAATTGCATGATTATATTTATATTTAGATTATAATCAGATTCACGGCGTTGATGGCCTCTGGATATACTTAGGAATTCATGTGCACAGATAATTCTCTGTAGCTTGGCACATGTCTTCTTTGAACAGAGATGGCAAGACACCTGGTTTCACACAGTGTTAGGGAAACAGAAAAGACGATTATATTACCATGATTTTGAGGGGGAACAAGGACCTCTGATAAACCAACTGTGCCTAGTAACTGGTAAGGAGGTCTGCAACTGCTCGTTGGTAATAAAAGCTCTCTGGGTTCAGCAAAGTGGCTGCTTTCTCCTAAATTTTTCTTTTAAAAAATCCTCTGTAGTTGACCTTGTCACCATTCTGCAGTGGGGAAAGGGCTCATTCTTTTCAGCTGAGTCCCCTACAGCAATACCAATATCAGCATCACACACAAAACAGACATGTGCTGGTCCTATAGGCAGATGTCACCAGGCTGTGGTGGGCAGGGAGCTGGTGCCATCTTGATGTGTCTGTCCCACATCTCCTTCCTGGGAATATTACTAGACATGCTTGGTTCCAAGTGAAGCCCTAGGAATTACATTGCTCATTATTCTGCTCATGCTCTTCCTGGTAGTCAGTGAAACTCGGACGAGAATACCCTACACAGGATTTGATTGTGATGACACCCGGTGACATGTCAAGCATCTCCAGAGTTCTTAGAGGCTTGGCCTACTGCCACTGAGAGGAGGCCTCTGCTTTCCATTTGGCTTTCTTGAGGCTATTGCAAAAAATAAGCCTCCTAACCAGCCCTAGCTGTAATTCTTACTGGTTGTCTTGGGAAGGTGGTAGCAGCATCGGATGGGGTCTACAGACTCTGAAGAGTCTTTGCTGCCTCAGAAGAACTCAAGGCAACTTGATCTCCAGACCTAGAAAAGTTATACCACTTGTTTAGGTTTGTTGCTTTGAGTTAAAGAAAGCAGGTTATTCTTTATGAAGCATGAACAATGCCAGAAACACATCATTAAAATGGTAATTTAATTGGACTTATTGAGGTAAGAATCCAGACTGCTCAGGTGGCCTGAAAGGGACTGGGATTAATGGTCCTGGGTCTGATCTGAAGTAATTCTGGGGATGTGGAGGAAACTTCACTGCAGATTCAGGACCAAAGTGCAGACCAAAGTGTGCTGATTTTGGACTTCTGTCAAACATTAAACCCACTTGGAAGAGAAAGGTAAAAGTTAAAATAATAGGTAGCGGCTAGCTTTAACTCTGTGATTGCAGGCTTTGCGTTTACGTCTCCCTTCCCAGCAACCTTTCCAAGCCCAAATGGAGTGAAGATCTCCCTCTCTCAAATGCTGTGATCTGATTTTGCGTATCACCAGCAGGTTCACAGTAGAAGTTAAACTTTGCAGCCCTGATGTCACGAAAGTATTCTTTTCTGTTTGCAAAGATAAAATCCCAGCTCATGGCCTGTGACCATACAGTAAAATGTAAATAGCATTTTAATGAGCACCATGGAAGAGAGTGCTGGGCCAGGCGCCCACCACCGAAGGGCTGGATTTAAATGCACTCTGGGTCATAATGAAACTAGTTTGGTGGTCTCAGCCTCCCCAGTAGACATTTTCCCACATTAGGAAACCAGCACAAGATTTCATGCAATTCCACAAAGGACAATTGTAGCTCTGCCCAAAACCAGAACTGGAGCGTGGATGGGGTGACTGGAGGAGAAGCTGGAGAGGGGACGTTCAGAGGCTTCTCAACCAGAAGTTATTTAGAAGGGAAGAGGGACAGATAATAGTGTGTGGATTTTTATTTCTGGCTGAATTCTGCAACCTCAAATGCCAGCTGAAGAGTTGCCCTCATTTCCGCTTCCTTCCCTTTCCAGATCTTCACTCTGAGAGAAGAAACACATTATCCAAAACCCAGAGGAGAACCTTTGTGCTCACCTACCTATCCAGATAACCCAGCTCCGGGGGCCCGGGCTGAGCACCCGGCTCTGAACCAGACTGCATGGGAACAGCCCCTGTGACTTCCTCTCCCACACTCGTTCCAAACGCACCCCACCCTCTCCAACGGGCTGCCCCTCCCCTGCCTTCACCTAGGCACAGTTCAGCCCCACGGGAAGCCTGCACGGTGACCAGCACACACCTCGCGGTCTGTCCTGTGAGTGGGAAACACTCAGTGCCTGGTTAGGCACATCTGATGACCCAGTATCGTTTCACTGTTCTATTTGATGAACATTGAAAAGGCATAAGGGGATAAAACCCAAGACATAAGTTGCTACATGTTTGACCTCACTATACTTCAACGAATACAGGATTCTTCCGTTTCTTTGCTGTTTGAAAAAGAAGACTCCAGCTCTAAATCCCTTAATGATGCTCCCTGACTGCAGTCCTCCATGGTGAATTAAGACACCATTTTTTTCATCCTTGCTTTCCCAAAAATTTGCCTAACCCACCACCTACGTGGACTGATCAGATCTGCCCACTGGTCCCAAGGCATTGTGGGTAGCCATGGGGTGCTAGCATGGGCTCCAAGAGAAGCAGATGGTGCCGATGGCCCCACCAGGGTACACGGGGACCTGGACAGTGCAAGGGGCCTCAGGAACAGTCCCAAAGGAGGACAGCTGCTCCTTCCAACTGCATGTCTGGTGTCCTGGGCAGCTACCACAGGACTCCTGCACATACCTCTTCTCCATCGCACCCTTCTCTTGCCCCTGCCTGCCCTCCAAAATGAAATTTAGCCCGCTGAGCTTCTACTTAAGGGCAGGAAGCACTGCCTGGAGGCTCCGGGCTGCCGGCCCTGAGGAGAAATCCCGGAAGTTGTCCCTCCAGTGCTTCCCTGCAGCAGGCTCCAGTGCCGTGCCTGGAGCCCAGCCACTCTGCCCCAAGGCTGCATTTCTACACAAAGAAGCCTTTAAGGGTGCTGTTGGAGGCCTCCACGCTGGAGTTTTATGTCTGTCAATCTTGGGGGGAAAAGGAGGCCTAATGAAAACGGCGGTGGGAGCCAGCAGCAGGGAATTCCACTCCGGAGGGCAGAGGTCTGCCTCCCAGACCGTGGAGATGCTGAACACTAGGCTCTGGAGGACCCGCGCAACAAAGCGGAGGGAACTGGAGTCACCTGGCTGCTGGACAGCATTAGAGGGACTGGTGCAGGGGGCGCTTGCTGAGGGTGGCGGCTCTTGGCCATGGCCCCGGGTGGTGCCAGCCAAGCTGGGAGAAGAGAGTCCCAGGGAAGGAGGAAAGTTCACCCAGGCCAGACCCGTGGAGAGACCTGCAGGGCCAGGTGCCCACGCTGGAGGGTGTGCAGCAGCCGCGGTGTCACTCCGCTGATTCACAGTTAACAGGAGCGACGACTAATAAAGCCCTCAGCAAGTGACCCTGATAGGCAGGAAGACAGGGAAGCCCTCAGAAGGTGGGTGGGACATTTGGCCAAGAGGCGGCAGGCAAAACAAAGGTAGTGGCCTGTGGGCGGGGTGGGTGGGGAGCCCGCCGTCCAGCAGCTCACAGTCCCGGGCTTGGCTGTGCAGCCCCCGATTCGGGCACTCAGACCAGCGGACCCAGCTGGAGAGCTTCCTAAAATATCCCGGGCCTGATGCAACAGAGCTCAGTGAGGGCACTGCATTGCGATGCGGTGACGACGGAGCCCAGGGTGGGAGCCGGGCCTTTTATGTCTCTGATTTTATCAGAGGCCAAATGAACCCGAGTCCCCAAGGAGCACTGGCGGACGGAGGGAGAGTGGTGAGGAGCTCTGACTCGGAGACCCGCTCTGCCATCCACCCAGCTTCCCCACGCGGGGCCGGGCACGGGGCCAAGCCCAGGGGACCCCTGTGTCACGCGCAGGACACCCCGAAAGTCAAGGAGCAGAGGGAGCTTAGCCAGCCTTGATCTAAGAAAGAGCTGTGCCCCTGGACGATGCCCGCTGGGTCGGAGGCGGGAGCTGGGAGGGGACAGCAGCACAGAGCTACTGAGAGCTGGCAGCGCCCCCGCTGGGCTGAGTCCTCCCAAAATAGAGGGCGCCCCCACCCGGGCCTGCCCAAGGACCCCAAATGCGAGATGCAACTTAACCTAGCCAAGGACCGCAACTCCTCACCCTCCCTCCTCGGCCACTCCACCTTTCTCAGATGGCCAGAGGTGGGGCAGAGGGAGAAAGGCCAGAGTGCTGGCCCCTGGGCCGGAAAGGTGGGAAAAGCGTCCACCTCACTGCTCCCCGTCCCCCTCCGGCGCTCAAAGTGTTGCAAACTGAAAGCCCCCGCTGCATCTTTTCAGCAAGTAATCAGCGCAAGTTGAAAGGCACATGCTGCTGCATTTCTGATCAGATTGTATGTTAAGCAGGAAAATACACCCCCCCTTTTCTCCTTTTTTCCCCCGGTGGCTAAATGCGTGTCTGTTTAAAGAAGCCACCAGGCAGGCAGCGCCTCTCACTTTGTCTTGGCAGGGCACAGCCATCAGACGGAGTGGGAGGAAGAGACATTAACTTCAACAGCTGTTTCTTGACCCCGGCTGTCAGTCTTCCCAAGAAT